TTTCCTAAAAACAAGTGCAACCGCTGCTATTAAAACACTACAGGGGGAGCCGGGGAGATAACTCAGTAGAATAAGTGCTCGCCTGGCAAGTAAGTGCAAGGTCCTCAGTTCAATCCCTGGTACTGCAAAAAAAAAAAAAAAAAAAAAATTACAGATTGGACCAGCGGGATAGCTCAGTGGACTAAGCACCTACTTTGACAAGTGCAGAGTCCAGGCATGGTGATGCATGCCTATAATCCCAGTGTTGGAGAGGCTGAAAACAGGAGGATCACTACGAGTTCAAGCTGCAGGCTCAAACTCAAGCAGTCTCAACAAGCTAAGATCCTGTACCAAATACATAAATGAAAACAAAACAAAAAACTACAGATTGTGGAATACAAAGGCTGCATTGCTTTTTTGTTCCATAGTTTAAAAATAACATGTACTTTAGCTAAAATAACTAGATTAATGGCCAAAAGCCAGTATAGAAATGGATTTTCCACTATTTGAAAGGGCCAAAACTTTTAAAGAAAAACTTTCTGTAGCTAAACTTAAATAAAAAGTGAATTCAGCCATACATGTTGAACTTTTCTGGCTCAGAATTCTCTTCTCTGAGGCTCGTTTTAGTCTTAAGTCTTACTTAAATTTTACTTTTCATCAGAATCATCCTGATAGTGTTTTGTGTTTGGTGTTCATTGCTCTTGGTGTTTTTAAATGTTAGAGTTCATAATATATGAACATTTCAAGAGTTATATCAAGAAATCAAATTATTTTTCTTTGATTTTGATAAGGAATATGCTTAGCAAAGAACAGCTCTAGGCTTCTTTGTATGACTGTGTGTGCCATAGGACAGAGAAAGCTCTGAATTGTTTTCTTTTATTTTTATCATCTAGATACATAAGATTATTATAATTTAAACAAGAGATCACTAAGACCTGTCTTTTAATTAGGTGATGATTTGCTCTTTAAATTAATAGCTTTAAAAAATTATTGAACTCTTCCAGATTACCAATGAGAACGTAAAGTAATAGAGCCATTCTGTAAATAAGTCTGGCAGTTCCTTATGAAGTTAAACATACACCTACTCTGTGACGCAGCATTTGAACTCCTGGGTATTTGTCCTAGAGATATGAAAGCTTATGTTCATACAAAAGCTTGCACATGATTGTTCATATCAGTTTAGTTTGGAATAATGCAAAACTTGACATAATCCAAGTGCTCTTCATTATGTAACTAACAAGCACACCATGACACCTTCATGCTGTGAAATGGAATACTGCTAACAAAAATTGAAAGGAATAAACTGCTGAAGCACCACAAAACTTGGATCCATCTTTAAGGGCATTGTGCTAGGTGAAAAGGCTACCCTTTATAGGTCAGAGGGGAGCCAGGCATGGTGATACATACCTGTAATCCTAGCACTCTGGGAAGCTGAGGAGGAGGGTTACAAATTTAAACCCAGCCTGGACAACTTACTGAAACTCTGTCTCTAGATAAAAAGGGCTAAGAATGTAGCTCAGTGCAACATTCCTGGGTTCAACCCCCTGAACTTGCCAAATAAAAAAAAAAAAAAAAAGGTCAGGTACTGCATAATTCTATTTATATAACATTCTCAGAACAACAGAGTTGAAGATGGGTTTTACCAGTTGGTGGAGGTAGAAAGGAATGACTATACGGGAGCATACAAGGGAGATCTTTGTATTGCTAGAGTAAGTCCTGCATTATAGTTGAGGTGACAAGTGTATGGATGCATACCTGTGATAAAATTTCAAAGAAATAGTGAATACTCCCCCGATTCCCCCCCCCTAAAAAAAATGATACAAGAACTGGTAAAATTGCAGTAAGATCTGTGGATCCATTAATAGTATTGTACCAGTGTCCATTTCCTGATTTGAAAATGTACTGCAGTTGTAGAAGAGATTATTGGAGATGCTGTGAGAAGCTTACCTGGTAACTTGGTGTGATTTACATGACTGTATATGAGTCTTAAACTATTTTAAAATAAGAGCCAAAGGGACTGAGAAGACACAAATAGGAGCTGTGGCTCTAGGTATCTAGTGATTGGGTACTGATTGGGGTTTCACTGTCTTACAGAGGATGAGGGACAGGGTTAGCTGGCTTTGGTAGTGTCCAAGCCTAGGACAGCCACCTGCCCAGGGGATACAGGATATATGGACTTCAGTTAGGCAGGGCATTCACCTTATACGTTTTCTTCTCTCCCTTTTGAGAATACACCAAGATGCTAGCAAAGGAAGTGAAACAACAACAGAATTCTAAATCTGTAGTGCAGAGAGCTGAGAAGGAAACAGTTGACAAAAGGCCTAAAGAAATTTTGGGTACTAGAAAGTGGCCAAAGAGGAGTGGCTGCCTCTCAAGAACCTGAAGAGCCAACAGAAGAGTGCTGGGGAGCACATGCACATGAAAAAAGGGACACAGAGCTGGAGTAGGAGTCAGATATACAAAGTGGTTGCAGCCCAGGCTCCCTGTCCCACTTCAGCCACTGCCAGCAGCAAGCAGCTCCTGCTGCCTGACAGGCAAGAGATGGAAGGATCGCCAGGAGTTAGAGGAAAGCCTTTAACATGAAAGGAGGATAGTAAACAATGAGGAAAAGTAAGTAGATGACATGGGGATCTGGAATAGAGTAAAATACCAACAACTTATATTCAACCATAACAAAATACTGCATTTACAATCTAAGAATTTATACTCAGATATGACAAGATACTGTATGCATAATTCAAGGATATGAGGATACTTTGGTTGTTTCTCTGGCACTGAGAATCAAACCCAGGGCCTTGTGCAAGCACTCTACCCCTGAGCCACACCCAAGCCCTTCTTGCTTTGAGACAGGATCTTGTTAAGTTGCCCAGACTGGGCTTAAACTTGGCAGTCCTTCTGCCTCAGTTTCTTGACTAATTACCATGCCTGTCTCAGGAGATACTTTTCGAATGGAGCTATCAAAAAACTTTAAAACACTCAACCATTAAAAATACATCAAAAGCTTAAGTAGAATTGGGATGTATATAGAGATAATCAAGATAAACAGAAAATGTGAGAGAAAAAGTAAAATAGAGTGTAAATCTGATGTGTAAAATCCTCATCAGAGTTCCAGAAAAAAATGAAGAAATAAGAAAGGAAACAGGAACATTTTCCATGCCAGAAGGGCCTGATTTTCCACCTGGCTATGGTCCACCAAGTGCCCAGTAAAATAAATGGAAGAAACACCCACATTTGTGCAGACCAGTATTCAGTTTTACAAAACAAAAATAGGAGATGGTTTCCAGAAAATAACCTTTAAAAATGGGGAAAGCCACATACAAATAAAAGGACGACTGACTCCTCAGCAGTAAAATTGAATGTTAAAAACAGTGAAGCAGTATCTTTAAAATTCTAAGAAAATATTTCAATCTCTTATATTCTAGTCAGCAAAATAGCAAACAAATGTCAAGGTAAATTCACGGGGATGTAGATTTCTCTTTCACACATCATTTCATAGCTCATTTTTGGAGAATGATCTGCAGCAGAAAGGAATAAAGGAACATGTGGATCCAGCTAATGGGAGCTGTTAACGGTCAACCAGGGAGGGACACGCAAGGACGACAGTGTGGCAGACTGAGGGACAGTCAGACTAGACTGAGTAAGAGGACAGAGAGTCCTTAGAGATTCTGGGAGCAAGAAATGGAATAGATTAGCTGACAGCTTTGTATGTTTGAGAATAGTGTTGATAAGCCTCTGCTAGACCTGACAGGACATGCGGAAGAATTTAAGGTAGACGCAGAAAACTGAGCACAGGGAAGGAGAACGAGACAATTATTAATCCAGGAGAAAGAACAAGGCTTTACCAAAACAGAACAGGTATGTTCAGTACATTCCTTACATTGTAGTGACCAATATTTAGAAAGTCATAATAAACACTATTGATTTACTAGAAAAAAAATGCCAATTACTATTATAGGGTGAGGATCGAGGGTGGGCAAGTGAACTGGTATATTGAGCTAGGTCTTCATATACTGTACTAGAAAACAAATTAAGTCCCAAACTAAGAAATCAAGATATTCAAAAGCATAAATAGAATAACAACTTAGGTATAAGCTTTCTTGGGAATAAGAACAGGGATGGGAAGGGTTGCTACATGGGTCATTTTTCACTGTGAACTTTTTATCATTGTTGCATAAGTAAATCATCATGTGCTCTGCCAATCCTAGTGGAGAACCTTTTTCTTCTGAAGGGTGCATGTATAAAGTATCTGCCTCTTTCAGTGTTAGGTATTTTTTTGTTGTTCTTATCTCTTGATCATTACAGACAGTGCACATTTGGGGAGTAGAGGTGAGACTTCTGTTTGGAGTGATTAAGACTGTTGGAATTGATTGAGACTGCATAGCTCATTGTTCATAGATGGGACAGATACAGTCCACCATGTGTTCTCAGTCATGAGGTCAGCACCATAGAATGATTTGTTTTCTGAACTTCAGGGGCCAGGGAGATGGCTCAGTGAAATAAGCGCTTCCCTGGCAAGCACAAGGGCCTGAGTTCAATCCCCGGTTTGGGGGTTGGGGGGGAGTTGAACTTCAGACCCTGGCAGAGTGTGAAAGCACCTCTTGGAAGTTTCTGTTCACTTAATAGCCAAAACATTGCCCTTAATTATACGTTGAGATAGCTAGGTCACACACACCTATTTCTAAACAGGAGAGTGACATCGTAACAGTCTGCTTACACCCAGGAGTGTGCGTGCCTTGGCCCCTGGGCCCACAGTCCCACGGGGTGTGGTAGGATATGAACATGTGCTGCTGGCTCCATGTAGAGTAGGTTGCCTTTGGGCAACAGAACTGCCAAGGTCACGTTCACCTGCTACCTCTTGTCAGGTGAGGAGATATGTGTAGCTCACGTGATTTTTAAGTAGCTTTTGTGACTGTGTAGACTGTATTGTTTGCATGCACAGGTATCCTAGGCTATACGGTTACAAAATCCGACTATCACTTGGTCTATTGTTTATTAATTTGTTTTCTATATTTGTTTGTCAGAATGTTATGGAACAGTTCAATCCTGGACTACGAAATTTAATAAACCTAGGAAAAAATTATGAAAAGGCTGTTAATGGTAAGTCTTTTGTTTTCTGAATTGATCCATGTAAAGCACACATTAGTCACTCAATAATCATTTCACTTAAGTGCCTAACAAGTTTTAAATTTTCTTTAAATGGTAGAAGTTATCGAAGTTATCTATAATTTAATCTACAGAAGTTTGTATTGAGATAGTACACAATAATATTAATGTATTTAAGTGAGTGAACTGAATGATAGTGGGTTACTGTAAGTGATGTATTTTAACTATCAAATCATGCTTTTTTTGACATGGCTGAGTCTCTTATTTCATTGCTAAAAGACACATTTTCTACTTTTTAAACCAAATTCTTTGTAACATATGTAAGTGTGTCCTTACGACATTTCTATGTTAGTGTCCTATGCACAGGTGTTATTCTTTTACTTACAAAAGGATTTTTTTTTTTTTTTTTGACTAGTTCAGGCTCCCTTAAGGGTGGGTCTGATGCAGCTTCTGGAGGTGGGAATCAAACCGTGGTCCTATGCACCTGACTTTATTTGCCCAAGAAACACTTAAAACAATTGAGCTATCTGGGAAGCCCCCCCATTCTTTTATTTATAAAGAATTTCTTGCTTTTAGACATAGCAATTTTGAAAGTAACATGGGAAATAGTATTTTTATCCTGAATAGTGAAACATCTAGAGATGAGGCTTAGGGTCTCGTTTCAAAATATAGTGTAAGTGCTTCGTGTAAAATAAATTTAAGTCTTAGCACGTGCCTGTCTTTGTGAACCAGAGTTGTTTGCTAGTTTGAAGAGGTTTTCTTTGAGGAAGATAATATATAGCCATACCATTTCCTTACAAAAAGGTGAATGCTATTATAATGCATTAGTTATCACATTAAAATGCTACCGATCACCAAATTCTAACTTGTTTGTCAAGATGATTCTCTCTGTATATGTGTTAGCCCCCAAAAGACTTAGGCTTGTGGTTCACCCTCCACCATGATTCATTCACTAAGACCATCAAGTAACATAAGTAAAACATTTAGTTGCCATCCACTTTAGCTCTGAAGAAGGCTGTCAATCAAGTTTCATATGTTTTGTTTATCTCTTCTTTCCCTCTCTCATCACACCCTACCTTTGTTTGCTCCCTGTTGATAGTTTGAAAAGCCCTTTGACCTTCCATCCCTCAGTACAGATATGACCCGAGACTGGCAGTATGCTGTCTGAGCTCTGGATGACAGGGAGCCTCATTGTAGTTGCTGGAAAAGTAAACTACTTACTTACTTTCTTCTGCATTGCATTGCTGTGCTTTGCTTTTTTATTTTTTATTTATTTATTTATTTTTTTTTTTTGTGGAACTGGGGATTGAACTCAGGCCCTTGTGCTTGCCAGGGAAGCGCTTATTCCACTGAGCCATCTCCCTGGCCCCTG